CTTTTCCTTGTAACAGCGCTGTCTTGTAAACTATGGAGCCTCCAAACTGCCAAAATGTAATAAAAGACTGGAGTGTAAAAAAAAAAAAAAAAAGCTTTTTACTATAATAAATTAAACTTAATACCCCTATTTATCACTAGCAAATGCATGTTTTCAGCTTATTTTGTTCCTGAAAAGTTTCAGAGAGACATTTTTTTCAGCAGATAGTGATGGTAAACACAGTCAGCCAGCGTGGTGCTCTCAGCAGGATACGCTACTATAATCAACATTTAAACAAGGCTTCAACTCTTTTCCTTTCCCTCTCTCTCCCTCTGAATTTTAATCTTGGTCTTGTCCTTCAGTTGTCTGTTACTTTGATCTGTGCACCAGCTAGGGCGCGAGCCGGAGTGATGATTCCCGCCAGTAAGATATAGATCCAAAATCACAATGTTCATAAATACACACAAACACACGTTCACAACAGACGGTGCTCAGTATGAAATGTATTCTTTAAAATAGAATTTCCGGCACAGCTCCTGACAGTCAGTCTAGATAATACATATAAGAGGAGAATATTGAACATTTGAAAAACCAGGGAAGGAAACAAGTAGATGTTTGTGTGTTGGCAGTGGTTAATCAGAAAGCACAAGACTTTTTCCTGCGGAAGTCGCATATGCAAGGCTAAGAGTTGTGTGTGTGTCCACCTCAGGTGTGTATACAGTATGTGTCTGTGTGGGAGTGAGGGGTAGGTTTCACTCAAGGTAGCCTGATAACACTCATCTGTATAAATAATATCCCACCCTGATAGGCCCTCAATCATCTGAGCGCATTTTCACACACACACACACACACACACACACACGCACAGCAGAGCAGTGTAATAACTTTTATTTATACCATTGAGGCTGGGCTAATAGCAAACACCTCTCTGTGTAAGGCAGCACTCTTCAACAGCAACACAAACTACAGCCTCCAAGATGATAACGCAGCTGAATCCACACATCTAATGAAACAGTTTGAACACAAACTGAACATGATTACTTTCATGAAGGGAGGATTTACTGCACGACTGCTGTATTAAAACTCACTTTTCCCTAAGTATACCCAATAAAAAGCCAGCTAAATCCTGCTGAGGATCTCAGTTCGCAAACCAAATGGCATTAACATGCTAATATAACAGCCTCCATTCTTGTTGGAAGGATTTTGGAACCTGGCTACAGGGATTTTCTCCCATTCAGGCACAAGAGAATTACAGAGGTTGGCAACTAATGTGGGGCCACGAGGCTTGACTCACAACACCTTCAAGCAGTCTCCAAACCACTGCACATAGTTGGAAGTGCGCTATTGTTTAAAATGTCATTGTACACTACATCACTCCCAGGAGTTCCCTTAACTAGTACTCAGAACCAGTCCAAAGCTATGTGGTGTCCACATACCTCTGGCTTTTTTTTCCCCCATCTCATTTGTCCTGACTTTCTTCTCTTGCATGTACAAGCAGAGCATTTTTAATTGCAAATGTGTGTTGGTTAATTAACATTTATGTTCCAGATCTGTTCGTTTGTCTTGTGAGAGTTGAGGAGGAAGAGGCTGAGAGTTGGTGCCACTTATAATTGAAATAAAAGAGAAAAGGAAGAGGAAGAGGGGAGAGTGACCGATAGCGAAGGAAGTGTATCGTGTCTAATTATACAAGAATCATCTTTATTATTAATCATTAGGATGCTGTCACGCTCTGTTTAGTCCATGATTATCATTAGTGTCCTCGTACCGTATTGTGTGTTGAGTGATATTCAGTGTGTTACTCAACAGTCAACTACTGATGTATGTGTTTTTAAGTGGATCTTCATTTGGTTTACTCAATTACAAAAATAAACGCTGTAATTTCTTGCATGTCAGCATATTTGTAATGTGAAAAAATGCATTAATGTGTCGGAGGTACTGTAGTTATCTGCTGTTTGTTTGGTTCTTATTCTCATTTTCATCTGTGTCTTTTGGCGATGTGACACTCATCAAGTCAAAACACATACTTCATACTGTATTTGTTTTTATGGTAGCTATTAGGCACAACCTCATTGCTCTAAATTTTGTAACTACATTTCCCACAGTTTTGGGGGCACTGGAGGATGTAAACAGGAAGCCTAATGTTGCCACAGACTCAGTTATTTAAACCTGAGCCCCATTAAATTAGGCACCAAAATAGTCATTTGCAGATACTGTTTGCAAAGCACCCACAACAATCATTTGACCAATTTAATATCGAAGAATTATGACTATTCCCAGACAAGCTCTAGTTAGAAGAATCACATTTTTTGTATCATATCTAAATCGATAATGGACGTTTAGTCGTGAGGAACATTGGAAATGACTGTCATGTCGAGCATGTTATCAGTAGGATAGAATAGTAGGATAGGTTTTTGCCCATGGATACATCTGTCTCTCTCTTTTAATATTAATTGTAAAATGACTGACTTTATTTGTATGTCTTACATTTTTTTCTGACTGTCTTTTAATCGAGATGTGGAGAAAGTATTATTTATCTATTAGTGTTGACATTATTATCCTAATATAATGATCATTGATAAAGAACAATCCCCATAATGTCTGGGCACATTTAGGGTTTTAGTGCGTGTCTGATATTGTCAGCATACTGAAGACTTGCACGTTGTTGCGGTCCATCTTTTTGTGCATATATAATAATAAATAAACACATGCACATTTATCTGTTTTCTGCATTGATGGATTTTTGCTTGCAATCTTCCCAGCATACTGATTTGTTTTAGTGACAGGACAAGGATCTCAAGCAAAAAAAGTTTTTATTATCCCTCAGTTTCATCTAATATTTATAGTTATTATGCAGACGTCACTCAGTAATTTCTGTTAGCAGTGGGAAGATAAATCTACCTAACCCTGTTAAATTACTTAAAGACCATAACAAGGATGAAACTGCACTGGCGTGAAAATATATTCAATCTGCTGTGCATGACTGTTTTCAGTCCGAGCAATTAAAGAGCATTACACATCGTGTAGGAGAGGTCATTTCAGAATATGTCTGAGCATATGTTTTATATTCAGGAAACGACCACATTCCTCTACTTGTGAAATCTTAAAATTCAGCATTTTTCAATGATCTCTTGTGTTTGCCACTGCATCGCCACACAATTTCAAATTATACGGTTTTCCCTTGGGGTACCACGTCCCCAGCAGGCCACCTGCAAAAATAATAGCCATAGGACCTTCTCACAATTATGCATATGATAGTGATGTGATGGATACAAGCTGCAGCTGAGCATCATCAACACTGAAGTGCCCATAATTATAGGAAAGAGCCTCTTGAAGGCTGTTATTGCATTTATATCACAGCTACCAGGAGCACAGAGTAAAAATCTCCCTTTGGCTCCCTGGTAGTCCAAACAGTTGTCATAGCAACCAATAAAATACAGTGGCTCTGCTTTAGTGACTGATAATTTACCTCTATCTCCATTTTCTGAAAAATGTCTCTGGCCAATCAGATCGCTTAGATAAAACTACTTGCTTCTACACACGATTACACAGCTGTAGACCAGCGTCCTCTTGCAAGTGGCCCTGCAAGATTGTCAGCGGTTTGGGTTTTTAATGTGGATGTTTCACATGATAATATAAATGCTGTTTTAAAAGCAAGTCTGTTCAACACAAATATTCATTTAGACTAAAGAAACACCTGCAACAACTGGAAAGGGAGCCCACACCTATTTTGGACAAGTGGCGCTGCAGATGCTTCTCAGCCTGCTCGCAAGGGGAGTCAGAAGCAGTCTTTATTTCTGTCAGGTTGGAAAACAATGATATGGAGGACTACAGGGACTACTTTAACTAAAGCTAGAAAATAGTCAGCTAGAGAGTAGTCTGTTTTCCTTCCAGTCATTCAGCCGAGGGACTAATCATCAGTCACTATCCAGATGTTCTGCTGTGATGCAGCAGAGATTAGCCTGAGGCCCAGGACTCCCCAAGGACACATGAGGAAATGCTGTGGTCACAAAATAATTTCTAGTAAGTGAAGAGGATGTAATACAACACTTTCCTCTGTTGGCCAGTGTAGTGTTGGTGTTACCTGGCATGTCATTTAGCATGCCAAGCATTTTTGCAAGCACTGAAGTCTCCACACTCTGCAGTCTACTAAGATGAAAATTAACTTCCAAATGCTACATTAGCTGATAGTTCAATTCTGATCTACCTTTGCTATTTGACAATCAAGTACAATATACATGTTATGACACACACTCCAGGTGAGCAGCATGAGAAACTCAGACCATGTAAACTGTGAACACTCTGGTTTACTAAACCTCTTTAACTGGGTTCAGCTCTGTGCTTCATAGCAATAGAAATAACATTCACATTCGGGTGGCTCCTGATGAACCAGATTTTCCCTGAGTCCAAGGTGACTATTCATATCCATTAAAAGCCTATTTCATTTCTGTTTGACTGAATGCCTCAAACTGTTGTCTGCCTCTGTTCAAAATCAATACATCTAAAGAAAATTTCATGTGACTGAATCACTGCTGTAATACATACATCCAAACCCACCTTATTCCTTAATCAGCTGAAAAAGCAGAACCAAAACATAAATTTCATTACATCAGTTTTGTGTGTGTGTGTGTGTGTGTCGTGTCCGGGACAGCACAAGAACCATCCCTGAGTCTGACAGTGTTGCGTGTTGTTATGTGCTGCCAATGTTCTGCACGAGTGCTAATTTATTCACTAAAGGGGTTTGTGTCTGCAAATTCATCTTAAATGACTGACAGCCAAGAAAAGCTGCTAATGCCTGCTGGAGATGGCTCAAATTATTTGATGCAACTGAGACACGCACGACTGCCAATTACATCATTTGAGTCACTTTCCTGGTTTAAATAACAATAATAATAATAATAAAAACTTTAAACACCAGCTTTGCAACCTCACTTTCCTGAGCTGAGATGTAGTTATGCAAGTGGCAGTGATAAACTTGTAACTATGTGCATGTTTGTTGTTTTTGTTTTTTTTTCTGCTCTTACCTTGCGGCCATCACTCGCGTGGCAGTTGACATTGAGTGGAGTGAGCAAAGCCATTAGCTTCTCCTCGTTTCCACTCCTGCAAATGTACACACACAAACACACATTAGAGAGAAAACGAGGAGCACCAAGACAAAAGATTAGCACCATTTCTCAGCAGGAGAGTGTGTGTGCGTGTGTGTGTGTGTGTGTGTGTGTCTTGGGGGGGGATGAGGGAGAATGAGATAAGGAGCCTGAGGCTGAAGGGAAAAGATGAAAATTTCATCTGCAGAAACAGACCGACATAAGCAAATGTTTGAATTGAAGGATTGAGGGGAGTGTATGTGTGTTTTTGTGGACATTTCATGTACAACTGCAACAAGCTAAAAAGAATATGTTAGAGGATACACTGTTCTAGCTACAGAGGATTTTGTTTATGTTGTTGATCTGTTTCCTGGTTCATGGGCTCTCTGCCCTGGCACTGGATGACCACTGGGAAGTGTTGCCAAGGCAGCAGCCAATCCAACCATCATCCCCATGATAGCCGTAAAGGAAGAAGCTGTCAGATGGAGAGAAAAGGATTATTCTTCTATTCTCCCATGTTCCCCTCCTCTCTCCCTCTCCTTTCACTTTTTGGGGGCTTATCTTTCCTTCTCTTTGTTTCTGTATCTTTCACATCCTCCTCTTCTTCTATCCCCTTTCCTGTTTTTTCTTCACCTCTCCAACCACCATTTTTTCCTGCTGCTTTCCCTCCTGCCCTTTTCCTCTCTCCATTCCTCTCATCCAAGTTGTTCACCTTTACCTTTCTCCCACCACTACCTCTTCCTCTCTACCTCTTAGCAGTCATTCATTCATTCATGCTTTTTCCTTTCTTTTGCCCAACTAGCCACTGCCTACTGCTTGTGCCAAAAAAAACAAGAGCCTTTGTTTTGATACAAACAAAATCTTGAGGATTTAACAGGGAAGATGGACATGGATTTCAGTGTGCACATGTGCATGTGTGTGCACATCACAACACCAAAACACTGAAGCAATAATTTGACATTTTGGAAAGTGCAATTATTAGCTTACTTGCCTAGAGTTCGAGTGATACCTCTCATGCCTGCTGGATAAATGTAAACCTACAGTCGGCAGACAGTTAATTTAGCATCAAGACATGGAAACGGGAAAACAACTAGCCTCGCTCTGAAGCAAAAACCAAAAAACTGGGTCAACTGATCAAATATGAAAGAAGTCACTCACAGTGATGAACCCACAAAAATCATCACCCAACTCCTCTCAGCTCCACAGTGTTTTATCATCTTTCAGCTCAATGTTTTAGTTTTACAACCCAGTACATAGCTGCTTTTGGTTCAACCACACACATTCTCATCATAATCAAAAACTTTTAAGCAGTTGAATCATACACAGCACCATTTTCCAAAGCAGACTTTGATTCAAGCAGACTTGACTTTCTTGTTTGTTGTCATCTGATGGCCTTAAAGGGACAAATCCGCCTTACTAGACAGACAACCTTGTGCAGCAGTCGTATATTCTCCCTCTCTAATATTTGCTGCCATATACACAAGCAGTTATGTTTTTATTGTCTGTCAATGCAATGAGTTAATGCTTTACCCTCAGACTATGTAGAACCATTTTAGCTGTTCTACTTATTTCTCTTCTATACTACTGGAAACTAGACCACAAATAAAAAGGAAAAAGTAAAGCAGAGAAACAGCAATATCCCATATGCCATGTGTGGGAGTTACAAACGCAACACTGAAAAAAGATAAGATTTATTTTTCTGAAGAAATGACATTGGTTATAAGCAAGACAGTGGCTCAGCTGTAAGAGAAGCACACTGGGTTCACAGTTCACACTTAAACAGTCTGCTGACCCTATAATACACAGGGGTACTGCCGTGCTAGGCCAGCTGCTGTGTGTGTGTGTGTGTGTGTGTGTGTGTGTGTGTGTGTTTAGAAGGGGGATTGAAAGAAAGAAAGAGGGGGAGCGACAGAGGAAGAGAGGTTGTTCAGGCACTGAGCGCTCAGCCACCCACACACAATCCCAAACAAAAGCTATGGAAGACACTGTAACACACACACACACACAATCACATTGCCCACATGACTGCAACCATAACATGCAGGCCTCCAAAATGTAAAAGTGTCCCTGGCTCTCTGGAAATGACACACCTGTCAGGTGAAGGAGCCGAATGTGTGCTTGTAGGTAAGCTGAGATGAAGGGAAAGAAAGAACAACTAATAAACAGCTGACATCCAGGGATAGTGGCAAAATACTGGCAGAAAATGATGGAAATCAAAAGTAAAGAGGAAATTAACAAAGGGGAGAAAATATATCAAAAGGAAGAAAAAGGAAAAGAATCAACAAGGGAGGAAAGAAAACAGAAAAAGGAGAAAAAGGAAATGAGAAATCAAGAGGAAAGATGAGAGTGGTAAAGACAGGAAATGAGAAATAAGAGGAGCTCAGAAGGAGAGAAGAGGATAACAAACAAGGATCGGAAACAGAAAACATAAGTGGATCAGAGGAGAGAGGAAATGGAGGTAGGAAACAAGGAGTGAAGCAAAGGAGGAGGGAGATGAAAGGGAGAAAATGAGAAAACTAAAAAGAAATGAGATGAAAGAATAGAAGATGAGAGAAGAAGCTAAGTGAGGAGGGGAAACAGAAGGGGAGGGGAAAGGAAACAAACAGGAGAAGAGCAGGGAAGAAAGTAAGCAAGGAAATGAGAGAGAACTTCACAGGTGAACAAGGAAGAGGAAAAGAAAATGTGAAAGGGTGTGAAAAAGTAGGAAGCAAACATAACAAGGCAATGAAAGAGAAAAACCAAATGAAAACAAAGCACATGCAGTCTGGTACTCACCTTGCCGCCTCCAGCAGCTCATCCTTCTTGTATTCACCTAGGTGGTTACACAAGATCATGGTGTCAGACAACTGGCCGCTATCACACACCGACCACACACAGACACACACATAATCAAGCATAAAGAAAAACCACATACACACACACACACACACACACACACACACAGAGGAAGGATCTATCTATTGGAGAAAGACCATCTCTCTTTCTCTCTCTCCTCCACCCCTCACCCCCCATCTCTCTTTCTCTGCCATTCTCACTCAGTGCGCACCCCTCTGACTCCGGTTGCCGTGACGATGCGTTGCCGGCAGCGACCACAGCACGTTCATTGTTTGGCGGATGAGCGACGGACTGGCATGCGCTCTGCCTCTATATGTCCGTGCATCCGTCCATGTCTCTCTCCTTTGCCGCGTTTGTCTTCTGTCTCTCGACTGCTGCTCATATTGCTAAACATCGTCCCTCGTCCTCCATCGTCTCTGTCCCTGTCTCCTTGCTTTTCTTTTTCCTGTGGGCTCAGGAGGCGCAGTTACCATAAGAAAAACAAAAAAAAACAACGGAAATAAACGGAAATAAACAAAGCCCTCCCCCTACCTCCCTCACCCTCTCTCTAGCTCTCTCTCCGTCTCTTAGCCCTGCCCCCCCTGCTACTACAATCACAACACACACACACCTTCCAATATGTCTTTTTCTGCCTAGGAAACAGCCAAGGGTGGGGAGACTCAGGTCCTGTTCAGATGTGAAATCTGTAACATTGCTGGATTTACTGCTTAAGTAATGGATTCCTGGCATTCAAACACAGGCCCTTCCTTTGGGGCTGTGACATCTGACAATCATATAGCCTATTAATGATTAAAAAGAGAAACACCGGTTGTCTTTTTTTTTTAATTATTAAATAAAATGCACAATGACGGTAACCCACTAGTGATTTCCTGAAAGTGTCTTACATTTTGAACTGAAACATAATTAAAAACATTCCCAACTCTGTTATATCCAGTGCATTTTCTGTCATCACCTAAAAGGAACAGTTCAACATTTTAGAAAACAGTGCTTAGGTCACATCTTGTCCCGTTAAGGTGTGGACTGAAGCAGCGGAGGTAACATAAGCTTCTGTACTCCCGTTAAGGTGTGGACTCAGTAAGGCAAAACTGAAGCAGCGGAGGTAACATAAGCTTGATTATAAAATATGTTCTGTAAACAAATAAATGCTTCGAGGAAGAGATGCAGATGACAGGCTCTTACTGCTTTCTGTGATAACTAGCGGCTCCCCAGCACATCATCACAGTTAGCACCATACTCTATTTTACAAGAAGTGGCATGACAAGGTCTGACCTAGTAAAACTGATTTCATGACTTCTACTGAAAAGTTACTTGAATCTATGTGGAAAACCGCCAGCACATTCACACAGAGAAGGTCATCTTTGAAAGAGGCATAAAACTGATATAGGAAATATAACAAACTAAGGAAGATGGAAAGGTAAATGTGATTCAGATAAATGGAAAGAGGATGAAGAGGATGGGCAGATGGAGGGGTAGGGACAGTGAGGAGCAAAGAAAGGTTATAGAGAAGGGAGTTCCAGTGAAGAACAAAGGATTTGCAGATGAAAGAGAGAAGGCATGATTAGGGGTCTGGAAACTGACATGCATGGATTTGACACAGTATAATTGGTGTTAGTGAAGCTGAGGCGGAAAAGGAAGAAGGAAGAGGAGACGGAGGGAGCAGAGACAGAAAAATGGGAACACAAACAGAAAAGAGGGAAATGAAGAAACTAAATTAGACGCTGTAGTTTTGAACTAAATCATATGCCCGAGATAGAATCACTTTACCATTACACACTTGACAGTAGTGTTTGCTGGGCACCACACACACACACACACACACGAACACACACTTCTCTCATATTTCTTTACTACATCTCCTGCAGTTTTAGCATCACATACACTTAAAATACATCCAATTTCATCATTTAACCATATTCATGCACATTGTTTTCCCCATAAAGAAAAAGTTGGGGGGAAAGCTAAAGCCCACTCCTGCTTAAAGTAAACTCTTCACTTCATTCATCATCATCATCACACTTTGAACCTAACTTAGAACCATCTATTATAGCTAGAGCGGGTGAAGCCATCAGGTATTATCCTCCCTGTGTTGAAGACATTCTCTAAACAACAACTCTGTTTTAAATCTAAATGTTCAGATACATATTTTTCCAAACATTTTGTGTTATGACTGACAGGAGGGGAGTGGCTCAGTCTTTTCATTCAACCCCAGTGTAACTGACACCTGAATGCAAACATATTCAATATCATTATGTTTACCTGAACCTGCCGTCATACATGGTGTACAAAAGGCAATGAGATACACCTTATTCTCAACCATATTCATGCTTTTAATTAACCGTGATTCAGCAGTTTTAATCCATCTCGCTCCCTCTCCCCGTCTCTCTCTCACACACCTAGCGAAGACAAGGACAGGTTAGCCAAGTCCACGTCTGACTCATAATTGTGAGTCAGCGACATCGTGAATTTCTGACTGTGACACTATCTCCCACATGGTGAAAGGAACATGGCTGCAAATGCACCATTACTGGCAGTAATGTCAAATTAAAATCCTATATTTACACTAATAGAATCCATTCAGCTAATTTTGTAGGAGTTATTCACTGTTTGTATCCGATTTCACTTGGTAACACACTGCTACATATGTAACACAACAAAAGAAGGACGTTTAGGTTGTTTATCCGGTGTCACTTTAGAGTTAGCACCAGGCCTAACCACCTTGGAATAATGCATGAGCTCTCCAAAGTCAGAATAAGGGACATTTTTCCCCCATTCTGCTGACATCCACATATAGCACCTATAACACAGTGATGCACCATCAACCAATGAAAAGACAAGCTGTCTAGAAATGCTCCACTAAGAATTTAGCCAAATCCCACCGACTCCAAACTGAATGGACAAGAAGGGCAAGGACAGGCTAGTGAGTGGGAGAGAGAGACAGAGAGAGAGAGAGTGTGTCTGTGTCACTCCCTTGGCAGAGCACAGTAGACACGACAATCACTCTTTGAATTACAATTGCTATACTGTATGCTTGTTTGTGGCCTGTGCGTGCACTCTTCTGTGTATCTGTATGTCCATGCATTAGTGTGATTGCAGTTCACGCAGACGTGAGGACAATGTCAAACAGTCACAATCCTATATATATATTTTATCCATGCAGCAAGGACCCAGTATACTGTGTTTGTGCGCATATAAGTGGTTGTACAAGACACAGAAGATGCTGACTAGTTTATGAGTCGACTCAGTGCCCAGCTGTCTGCTTGTGTGTGTGCGCAGAAATCAAACATCACTTATTGCAGAAGCAGTTTATCCGCTGCCATACAACAACTGGCTTTGAGTCAGGAGTTGAACAATCCACTTATAACCTCAGCAAGGTCGCAAATGCTGAGGTTGTAAGTGGATCTGTGTGTGCTGAGACCAATCTAAGGGGAAAAAATAAAATAAATGGGAGGTGAACAGAAATTGGGCCCTTTGCTAGCTGACTCGGCTTACTTCACACACACTCAACTCACACCGCGTGATTAATTGCTTCATACAGTGTACCAAAAAGAACTGTCTGGGCTAATTGTGTTTCCTGGCCAGCCACCCCTTTTTCACTATTCTTCGTTTTGTAAATAAAAGAATCTGAATGCAATTTATTATGCCACTATGGCAATGTGTCTGTGACCTTGAGTAGGCGCAGCTGAGCCACTTAATTTAAACTGCCTTCACTGCTCTCACTTCTGGTTTCAATTTTCTTTTCATGAAATGGTTCTTTACAACAGTGCTTTGTTTGAAATACGCTTGCTCCTGGTTGGTAGGTACAGACGAATTAAAAGGGAAAAAATACCAACTTGTAATTTGATTTCTAGCTCTTATCTCTTCCACAAAATCCTGTCCTCTTAGTGTGATCTGATCTGGCTACTGACCACGGCTGTGTGATTTGTGTTAGTGAGTTAGAATACTTTGCAAGCGAGTTTAAAATAACAAGGCTATAAAGGCGGACTAGTGAGTAGATGAGTCTCTGTGTGACGTTTAATAAACCCAGACAGCCTCTGTAGTCTCATTTAGCCACTTTTCAGCAATCGCTGACACATAAAAGCATAAAAATCATGAGTGGGATATTTATTGCTGTATTTATATCATCAAACAAAACACGAAAATGTATTGACCTTGTGTTAACCACAGACATTATTTCAAGAGTCTAACAAAAAGGCAATTCAAAAAAAAAAAAAAAAAAAAAAAAAAAAAAAAAAACAGACTTACGAAACAGGGAACTAGAAGGCACAGGACACGGTAACTGGAAGTGCAAGAATGCTTACTCAGTTCCTGGCTTTAGGACACACTACTACTGCACTCTATTTACTCCCATTATTATCATTTCTAATGCTGCAAAATGTAGCACAGAGGAAACCCTAGAAATAAGTCAACAAGGCAAGATCGGACCTTGCAGTACTGAAAAAAAAAACTTGAAATGAACATGTCAAATTCCTCTCCAACTTATGCATCACTGAAAATATAACATCATCTGTCCATTAAAGTGCCTTGTGGGGGGGGGGGGCTCTATTGGTGTTGAGAGAAGGTCACCCAATGATTTTACTGCTGCTAAGTGATAAAAACAAGAGAAAAGAAAATGCTAATTCCTGATGGTATCAGGAACTACTTAGCATGCCTGAAACACAAGCATGGATCCTCTTCAATGTTTAACAGATACAAAGGAAAAGGTTTCAGCACCTGCTCCTCCCAGAAGCAACACTAAACAACAACAAAAGTTATCTGTGGACAAATTAATAGGCCTATAGATAAGAGTTGATTCTGCTTTATTCGTCCTGAGTAAAGCACACAAACGAGTCACAACCAAGGAGAAACAAAACAGACTGCAGTTCATTCCTCTATGTCTGAGTCCCAAGTTGTTTTAACTTTAATTAGTAGCTGTTTTACAGGGAATATCCTCAATGTTTTTTAATTATTCAATATTTTTATTCTTTTTTCTCTTTTAAA